CCCCCCCCCAAAAAAATAAAGATATCAAAAAGCTGAAAGTAGAGCTGAGATTCTAGCATGCCCCAGGACAGAGTTCAACGCCAAGGACTGGAAAAAGAAAAAAAAAATCCTTTATCTTGTTGATAAGATTTATTAAAAGGTAATTTCCTTCTTCCCTTTCTGATCAAAGGATATCCCAGGGATCTTAAGTTATCTTGGTTCTGAAAACTGGCTGAAGTTAGGGGGCTGGCCAGGAATTTGGAAAGACTGATCAACTTCCAACCTCAAAGAAAAAACAACAGATAACAGAAATTTGCTGACACCTGGTGGCTCACCTGTAATACTAGCTACTCATGAGGCTGAGATTTGAAGACAGTGGTTCAAAGCCAGCCCAGGCAGGAAAATCAAACAAACAAACAAAAAAAAGCACTCAGGGACAGTGCCCATACCCTGAGTTCAAGCCCCAGAACTGGCACTAAAAAAAAGTAAACAAAACCCCAGCAAGTCTGGTCGTGGAAAGTCCTAGAAAAGGGGAAAATCTGGACAATGACTCGACACAGTGGGGAAAATCCTTACTTTCTGACTATGTAACTCCACAGGAACAAAAATCTTCTACAGTGAAATGATATTCAGTGGAGGTTGTATCAGGACAAGGCTGAACACAGCACATATTTCAAAACCATATGTTCAGCTTTGGCAGGAAATGTAGGTGAGAAAGGAATTTCTATGTTAGGGAATGCCCGCTTCACTGTAGCTGGCTAGTTATGAAATCAAGACACACACAAATATTTGGCCAAAACACCTTTAATGATGAGAGGAAAGATACTAGCATCTCCTCTCTCTGCTCTGACATTTCACTATGTTAGGAAGCTCTGGAGTCTACAACTTCAGAGAAGGGGGCCATCATTCAAGACCCTCTCTTCTCAAAGCTCCCATTCCAAATGATTCTATGTTAAGAGTAAACACTACATTTCATTACAAGACAGGGAGGAACTACTTGAAGCTTGTCCCCCAAAGTCTGTGGACTCCTAGAACCAGACAATGGCAGACATACCCCTAGTCCATAATCAGGCAAAACTGGAGAGGAAAGGGATTTTGAGAGAAGATGGTGAAAATTACAAGGGCCAGGAGATAAAGGAGGGAATTATCTAAAACTAGAAGGAAACTATTGCTAGGAAATCCCCCATGATTCCCAGTGTAAGACTGAGAACTCTAATATCACTATTAGCCCAAAAGAACATTCATGAGAATGCCCACATTCATAAGACTTCACATCCCCTGCTCCATAGGTTCCCAACAGTATTTATGCTTTAGCAACATTCTTCAATTTTCTAGCATTAGTTCATCCATGACCCTCACCAACAACTTTGTAACACTTCCCAAAATACCTTCTTGGCAAGAAAATTGCTTGTTCCTCAACTTTAAAAGGCCAAGATGAATGAGGGGCTAGAGATGTCCTTGCATAGTGACTAGTCACCTTTTCTTTAATGTGACAAATCGAGATTTACTGGGAAGAATAGCCCAAGCACTTTATTTCCCCCCTCCCTCCTAGGGTTGAGCCATCACTTGCTAGGACATCTTCTTTACTAGCACCTTCTGCAGCAGGGGGAGGCAAAGGGAACATTCAGTTCATTACTTCTATGATGAACTTCTTAGGTACTGCTTTGGATGCAGAAGGCTAAATTGGAGTAGGGCTATCTTCTTCTTGGCCTTTCTGGATCTCTGTTGAGTCATCTTCCCAGGCACAATTCCTAGGTCAAACAGCACTGATAATGCCAAGCCTAAAGTGGTGGTAGAGGTGAGGCTGGAACTCCAGAGTTTTGGTGGACACAGCAATGTGACAGGGAAAGCTGTGTAATGGTTGTGCAAAGGTAGGGAATCCACCTCTACCTCCACAGACAGGAAGGTCTTGGGACAAGAAGTCCTCAGCAAGGGGTGACACTGGGCCTTAGAGAGCAAGCTGCCAGACCCTTCAGTCTGGGTTGCAATTCCAAAGATGGGTGCTTAGGTGCACCTGCCAAAGGGAAAGGAAAAGGAAGAGGACAGGAGTCCTCTTGAGAATGTAAAAGCTGCAGAAAGCCTATTTTCCTCAGTTACAAGGAATGTAGAGGGGATTAAAAATTCCTAAGGGGGCCATCCTCTTGGAAGCACAAGAATTCCTAAGCTCAGAGACTAGAGAAAAAGCCACTAGAGACATATCATGTAAGAACTCAGAGAAAAAAGACAAAATACCTGGGGAGGTCCCTCTGTGGAGCTCTTGGTTTCTGCTTCCTGGATCAAAGGATAGCAAGTATAGATAACAGAATTAAGGGATTGCAGGGTCATCTTTTCGAGGGAAGGGAGAGATCCCTGGGGAAGCAATAGAAGGAGAACAACTAGGGACCAAGGACAGAGTGGCAATATTCTGAGGGCCGTGGGGGGCAAAGGGTGGTACCTGGTGGTGAGCCAGCAGCATATGCTTCTTGAGGGTTGCCCGCTCAAGAAAGCTCTGCCTGCAAAAAACACAGGTGAAGAGCAGCCCCTCCTTGGGGTGGGTCTTCTGATGCTCCTCCAAGGCTGTCTGAGTAGGGAAGGTCTGGCTGCACACTTCACAAGCCTTTCTGCTGCTATTCTCTCCTGGCTCCTTTCTCACAGTTTCCTGTAAGCTCAGCTCCTCTACCAAAGGGGTGCAGGTACCTTCTCCTTCTTGGGGGAGTGATGTCGCTGGGCTGGAGCTCCTCTCAGGTTTGGCCCCCTCTTCCTTGCCTCCTGAGACATCATAGCTGTCCTGCTCCATTGGTTGGGGTTGATCCACAATGTCAGGAGGAGGTGGTGGTGGCAGAGAACACTGCTGAGTGGCTTTCTCATTACCATCCCTCTCCTTCCCAGAGGCCACTGCAATGGCTATCCCCGCTTCCTCCTCTGCCCCAGATGCCTCTTCTGAATCACCTCGCACTGATATTGCTTTCTCACCCCCGCTCTCTGAACCTCTTCCTGCTAGGGAATCTTCATCAGTCACATCTTCTTCTTCTTCCTCTTCCTCCTCCTCTTCCTCAGACAATTCCTCTTCTGGTGATGGCTGTTGGGTTTGCTGCTGCGGAGGGAAGCTTCCTGCCCCAGAGATTGCAGACTGCTCAGAGCCATTCTCCTGGGCAGTTCCTCCGCTCTCAGGGAGTGTGGTACCTCCATTTGGGATCTGGCCTCCCAGATGCATTCGAACATGCTGCTGCAGGGTAACAGCATTAGTGAACTTCTTCTGGCAGATAGGGCAAGAGTTCTGGGCCCGGGCAGCTGGACTGGCCTTGTGGCCCACAAAATGTGCACGAAGATTGCCCCGGGTGGAAAAGGCTCTGCCACACACTTTGCATTTGAAGGGTCGCTCACCTCCATGTTGGCCATAATGCAGGCGCAGGGCTCGAGGACAGCTCAGCACTCGGAGACAGATGACACATTGGTTAGGTCCAGAAGAAGCCGAAGGTGATGGCGCAGGGGCAGAAGTGGTGGGGGCTCCTGAAGCAGTAGAGCCCACGGCCATGGCTCCTTGTCGATCAATCTTCTCTACCAGCTGTTGTAGCTTTGATGTCTCTGAGGGTGAGGCTCCCAAGGGCTCCAGCACATAGGGGAAAGGGAAGCTGCCGGTGGACTTGAAGTGGTTAGTAAGCAGTGCCCAGCTTGGGAGTGAAGTCACTAGCTTACTTAGCTGCATACGGGCTGCTGTGCCACTTTCGGCCACTCCACTGATGGCTGAGCCTTCACTTCCTGGGGGAGTGTTTTCATCTGCCTTATTTTTGGGCTCCACTGCTTTCATGAGCACAAACTTATTGAAAGCAGGGAGCCCAGGGGCTGTAGCTGTGCCTGCACCAGTAGACAGCAGCGTCAGACTCTCTGTGGCACTAAGTGCTGTGGTGGAGGCTACCAGAGGCTTGCGTTCAACACCTCCACCTGGTGTGACTGCCTCTTCTTCAGCTTTTTCGGGTGGCACAGACATGCCATAGGGCAGGCCACTGCTGGTGATGACATAGTCTAGGTGCTCTGGAACAGGATGTGGGTTCATTTGCACATGTGGATACTTCTCCCGATGCCGGTGGAAATGGACTTTGAGGTTGCCTCGGGTGGTAAAGCGATTGCCACAGACGTTGCACTTATAGGGCCTCTCACCAGTGTGAGAACGAAGATGGATCTGCAGGGCGCTGTCACTGCCGAATACTTTGGCACAGAAGCGGCATTTGTGCCTTCCCCCAGTCTTCTCCAAAGGACCCATGACTTCCCCATAGCCCAGCTCGCCACTTCCATTCTTTGGCTTCAGGAGACCTGGGGAGGCAGTAGCCTCAAGGCCCCTGGTGGCTCCAAGACACTGTGCGGCCAATAGTCCTGTGGTGCCTGGGAATGCCAGATGAGGGGAAGTAACCAGCTGCTCTGTGCTGCCTGGCAGGGCTGAGGAGGGGGCAGGGGTAGGCTTGTGGCTTCGCCCAACCCCACCAGCAGAGAAGGAGTGCTGTGACCCCAATGGATGATAAAGGTGAAAGAAAGCCTGCTTCGGTGTTTCCGCCCCTGAGGAGGAAGAGGAAGAGGAGGAGGAGGAGGAAGAGGAGGAAGAGGAGGAGGAAGGTACCAGTGTCTTGCCAGTTTGGACAGGCTTGATGGGGCTGAAGAGGGGGAGTAGGGGCTTAGTGGAGGAGACAGTTCCTGTCCCAGGCAGCTCTGAGGGACTGGCAGGAGCACCCACTGTCTGGCCTAAGGAGCCCAGCAGCAGCACCTGGCGGCAGATTTGCTCAGTCATTTGCATCTGATGGATCTGCCTTTGCTGCAGTACCCGCAGCTCTTCCAAGATCAGAGGAATGTTCAAGTGGCCGCTGCTTACGCCAGGGGGGGGAGGGGGAGGAAGAGGAGGAGGGGGGACAGAGGTGGATTCTGGAGGCAATGGGGTTGCTCCCAGCTTGGGACTGGCCAAGATCAGGCCCCCGCCTCCCCCAGGCGCTGTACCTGTGGCAGCGACCAGGAAATGCCCCGATGATTCTTCTCCTCCTCTCCTCTCTGGGCCCCAGGTGGAATCTGTGGGCCCGGAGGACCCAGAGTCCGGGGGATTGCTATGCTCTGTGTCCATGGCCTGGGGACTATTGTGGCCTTCTGGCCGGGATTCTGAAGATGCTGAAGCGTTGTTGGGGTTTTCCTGGCTCCCCATAATCACCATTACAGGAGGATCAGTAGCACAAGCATTCTGGTGAGCGAGGAATTCAGAAGGGTCAGTGAATTGTGCGCAGCATTTGGCACAGACTTGGGGGTGCTCCTCCTCGCTAGCTTCACCTGGGGAGAAGACAAGGAGAGATCGTGGTGGTGCCAATGGGTTGTGTCTGCACAGAATCTAGAAGCCCAATACCTCTAGTGGGGGCGGGGGGGGGGGCTCACCATCAGGCCGGACCTGACCGGCGGGGACCCTAATTCCCCAACAGAGGATCTGGGCGAGCTGGGGGAGGGGGGCACACACTCTACTGCCCTCTCCTGACACCGCCCCCCTCTCCGCCGCGGGAGAGGGGGAATGGCTGTGAAACCTAGGCCCTACTCCCAGAATCATGCATTTTTTCGCACCCACTTAATCCTTCTCCCCTCCGCCCACACCTCGGCCCAAGCCAGGCCCTACCGCACCTCCAAGCTCCGCAGACTCCCCGCAGGCCCCCCGGAGATGAGAGCTCTTCCCGGCTTCAAGCGCCATGGCGGGGATGGGGACGGATGGGGTGGGGAACAATGGGGAACGGGAATGGGGAGGCGACTGCGGCAGGAGCTGCGGCAGCCTCTGCACCCAGCGGCCCAGACTGCGGAGATGGAGAGCGGCGGGGGCGGGGCGGCGCAGCGGCGGAGGGGGAGGGGTGCACGGATGGGGAAGGGGGGGAGAAGGGGCGGAGTTGGGCGGGAAAACTGGGAGAGGGGAGACTGGGAGGATGGGGTGTGGGGAGGAGCAAGAGCTGGAAGGGGAGGGAGCCGGGAGGGTGGGGGCGGGGTATGCGGGGTGGGGAGGCCTTAGGGTATTTGGGGACAGGTGCTTTGGGTCACAGTGGGGGTTCCACCTTTCCAGCCTTCCGCCAATTCCCCCCACCCCCTGTCTTGGTCCAGGCTTGCCCCCACCCAGTAAGCTCAGGGGCACGGTGGGAAACCGAGTCCTGCTCAACAGAGCAAAGCCATAGACTTGTCTTATTTTTCTTAGGATAAAGGATTCTCTGAGCCTCGAAAATGTGGATTACGGAAGGTGGCCTGATCTCAAAAGGTCTGTGCTCCTCACCAGCACCTCACCACTCAAATTTTGTCCGGATGTCCCTCACTTCCATTCCCACCCTACCCCCAACCCTCTACCACAAAAGAAGTTTCTCAGGGTGGGTAGCTGCAAGATAGAATTTCCCAGGAAGTCATTTCAGGTCTCCTTTCGGAAGAACACTTACCCCTTTAATCCCCCGCCCCTCATCCCCCACAATAATAGCTGAGTGCAAAGCTACTTTACAGATCACCAAGCCAACGCTTAATTTATAGTTCATGCTTACTGAAGCCATCTCCTATTCAGTACCTGCTTTCCCTTCTCTCTTTAAACATTAAGGACGGTGGGTCCCTTTGAGCTTTTTTGCCCAAAAATCTCAAGATGGCCTGCCCAACTCTAACCTGGGGGGAAAGAAGCTCCACCTCGGACACCGGGAAAATTCAACTTGGTTTGAATGACACCTGCTGTATAGAAGAGAGGCTAAGTAGGTCTCCTCCTCACCCTCCTGCTGGGGAATAAACAAACCCAGGACTAATGGGAGGCAAACGCCCCACACTGAGCTACACCACCAGCCCTTGGGTTATTGAGACAGGGTATGGAGTCCAGGTTGGCTTCAAACCCAAGATCCTCCTGCCTCTGCCTCCAGTGCTGAGACCATCTCATCTGCCTCTCTTTCTTCCTTGAAATAAATCTTGAAGGGTTTATCATTTTGTAAAATACTTTATCCTACATACAAGAAGTGATTCTTCTGGTTCCAGTTCTATCTTGCCTGGCTGGTAAACTGAGGCATACTGGCCAGTTACACCACAAATGTACAATTTCCCTTTTTGTAAAGTGGTAATATTGTAGTTACACTGTCTTCTTCAAGGAAATATCATGATGAAAGAAATGAAGTCTGGCGCATGGCTTAAGTGGTAGAGCACCAGGGCCCGAGTTCAAATCCTAAAGGACAAAAAATTGAAAATAAAGCACAAATGCTAGTCAGTAATTCCAGCTACTCAGTAGGCTGTCTTGGAAGTTCATGGTTCTATGAAGCCAGTACAAGCAGAAAAATCTGCAAAATAACCAGCAAAAAGATATTGTGGCTCAAGTGATAGAGCATCGGCTAATTAAGCCCAAAAGCTGGAGGTCCTAAATTTAAACCCTAGTACCTGCAAAAACAACAAGTGGAGGCGTGGCTGAAATTATAGAGTGGTAACCTTGACCAAAAAGGTCAAGTGAGAGCTGGGTGCCAGTGGCTCATTCCTGTAATTCTAGCCATTCAAGAGCCTGAGATCTGAGGATCAAGGTTCAAAGCCAACCTAGCAAGGAAAGTCCCTTGAGACACTTATCTCTAACCACCAAAAAGCCAGAAATGAAGTTATGGCTCAAGTGGTAGAGTTCTAGCTTTGAGCAAAAAAGCTCAGGGACAGCAACCAAGCCCTAAATTCAAGCCCCAGGAAGAAAATCCTTTTTGTTGTCCTATCTGAGATAGGACCTACAGACTTGTACTAAGTGCTCAGTCACTGAACCATATAGTAGCCTAAACAACTTTGGACCAGCCCAGCACCAGTGGCTCACGCCTTTAATCCTAGCTACTCAGTAGGCTAAGATCTGAGGATAGCGGTTCAAAAACAGCCCAGACAACACGTGCACCTCCATGTTTATTGCAGCACTGTTCACAATAGCTAGGATATGGAAACAACCCAGATGCCCCACGACAGATGAATGGATCCAAAAATTGTG